CTACATTCCATAAGTATCTATGTGTTTGTTGTGACAGAAAAAAAAAAATAAACAATGCTGACTAATTTGATAAGTAAACGATATGTCGATCTTTTAGAGGAGGTAAACTAAATCGTCCACTTTTTACAAAATTTTCTTCGAAAAAAAAGTGGAGGGTCAACAAGAATATGTGAGGTTCTTTTTTTGTAAGTTTTATAGTTGCATAGTCTAGTTTCCTAATATCTACTTGATATTCCTGTTCAGAGACTCTTTCTTTATTTGTTTCTAGAATAAACCTTCTAGTTTGAATGCTGAATGTGTTAGAGAGTCTGTCGAAGAAAAGAAAACTTAACCCAAGGCACAAACCAACCTAATATTCTTATACGCCTACTCTTTAGTGTTTTACATATTGTAGGCTTCATCAATAACAAGTTTGCTTAATGCAAAACTAAGAATATTGTTGTGTCTACTATGTTGCTTTTTTATATTGCTGACTGTAGTTTGGTAGATTGTTGTTGACCAAATGATCATCAGAAAGAGTTGTCATATACTATATATTAAAATATTAATTATAATTGAATTTAATAATATTTATATAATTACTATATCATTATTATATAGTTACTATATTATTATTATATAGTTACTATATATTAAAATATTTAAATTTTTATAAATATTTATTTAAAAAATTATTTTTAATATTAAATATCTTTATTTTTTTATATATTTAATATAAAGTAATAAGGTAGTAACTTTATAGCTAAAAATAAAAATATTACTACTAATTAATTATATAGTTATATAATAGTTATATGCAAGTAGTATTTTTTTATTATTTTTTTTTTTTACGGTTTATAGAATGATCTCATTAGTTGGGTTTTCCCTTTATTATTAAAGTATCTACAGTCCATATTTTTATGAAAGAGTTTATAGTAATATATCAACAAAGTTACAATAAATCATATATACAACTTTAGTCATTATCTATTTAAGAGTTCCGCCCATAGGTTCTTCACTCATTGCCATATCTAAAACCCGCTTGTGGGTCCTCTATTTAAACTCTTTGATTTTCAATGTTATTCTGCTCATATGATCTTTAATTTAGGTACTTGGTCCAACCTTTAGACTACTTTACTTATAAGATAAATTCTACCAAAGGAGGTAGTTTCTACAACCACACCTTATCCAGATTTTATTATGTTAGAGGTGATTCCATATCAGATAAGGCCATTCCTTTCTATAAACATTAGTGACATTCTTCATATTTCTCACTATAGTAATACCTGTGCTCTGCTATATCGGTTTCCTTCTGAGAATTCCTTAAACCAAACGTGTACCTTCACATGGACTTCTACTAGGCTTCGCATATAATTATAGGCTCCTTTTTAGGTTACAGAGTATTCTACCTCCAGCCAAACTTGAACCGTCAATCTTGTCTGTGGGGACAGAAACTTATCCATTAAGCTATGAGACCTGAACCCCATATGCAAGTAGTATTAAAGTTATAATATTATAATTTTAATAAAATAATATTTTTAATATATAGTAACTACTTAGTAATAATAAAATAATTATATTAAAATTTTATAATTTATAAAATTATAATAAAATTATAATAGTAAATAGTATTGTTAATATATAGTAACTTTAAAGAAAAATTTATTACTAAGTGACTATAGTTAATTTATAGTAACTTTAAAGAAAAATTTATTACCAAGTAACTAAATAGTTAATTTATAATTATTTTAAAGTAGATTTAAAGCTACTAAATTAGATGTTTTTGTAAAGTAGCTAGTTAATTAGTTGATTAAATTAACTAATTACATAAAATATCAACAGCATTTCAGTTGCTACCTTATATATATTTTTTACCAAGTTTTATTTATTATTTATTTAACTAATCAATTAGTTAAATAAAATAATCTATCAACTAATTGATTAAAAATTTTCATCAATTTGTATTACTATACCAAGTTTCATTATTTATTAACTAATTGATTAGTTGGCTTATCAATTAGTCAACTAATTGATTAATCAATTAGTTAATTAATTGATTAATCGATTGGTCAACTAATCAATTAGTTGAATAAAAACTGATTAATCTATTAGCTAGATAAACTGATCTATTAAATAATCAATTGAATAAATTTTTATTAATTTGTATTACTACTTTACAACTTTAATTAGAAGCTTAAGAGATGTTTGCTTAGTAAAATTTTTTAATATCTTTAAAATTTTATTTTAACCAATTATATTATTATTTTGGGTAAGTCAGATTTTTAACTTAAAAAATATAATAAAGAATTAAACAACTTTAGATCAAGATTTTCTTTTAACTAATTAGTATTAAGACTTGAAACTTTTAATTAAAAAATTATAAAATGCTAAAGAATATATATTTAAAGTTATATTTTATATTTATCTTCTTGAAAAAGTTAAAGAAACACTTTTTTTTGTAAATTTTTATATAAAATTGTAGTATTTGATTTATAAGTAAATTATTTGAAGCTAATTTAATAGAATATGTCCTATAACTATTATATATATTTAAAAATTAATATAATTATATATATATATAAAAGTTGCAAAGAATTTGTTTCATTAAAACACCCAGAGTTACTTTATTAGCAAGATTTTATTTTTAAAAATTGTAAATAATTTTTTTTTAAAAAAAAAAATATTTTAAAATTTTGTAATAAAGCAACTCTGGATGTTTTAATTCTCTGCAAAATTATATATATATACATTTATATTTAATTTTTAGATATTCAATAACTCTATATTACTGTTTTTATAGACTACTTTTCTTATAGAGCAAAGTTGTCTTTATTATAATCACTGATATTATTCTTATTACTAATGCATTTGTATTAATATATTTTCAATTCAATTCTTTTCTGAAAGCTATTTAATTTCTAAACTAATTGCTTAAAAATTATAATCTTTCTTTACTGCATACTATTGAAGCTGAATATGTATTTGAGAAAACCCACTTTTCTTCTGCTCTCCCAATACAAAATAATAAAATTATAGACTTGTCATTTGAAAAATTAAGATTTTGTATAACTGATACTTTCAGAATCTGATCTAACAATTCAGATTCTGATTTTGAATTGGATCTGCAAATCATTAATGCAAGCTAATACTAACTAATATTATCCCTTAAACTGTTTAGCAGGCAAATTTACCTACTTAAATTATTTTTAAAAAGTGTTTTTAAGATTTATTTAAGCTTGACTCCTCTATTTATTGAATAAAATTAAAGATATTTCTTTTATAAATAATATATTTAAATTTTATCATTCTTATTTTTAATTTTAATAAAAATATTCTACTTTTAATAAAACTTATTTTTTAATTTTACTATTAAAATTTTAAAAAGTTTCTTAAAAGTTTATATGTTTCTAAAGAGAATTTTTTTAATTACTACTAAATAAAGTTGAGATTTTGTTTAATAATTATAAAAATAATAATAATAATTTAATTTCAAATTTTCTACAACTTTGTATTAAAGTAATAGGGATTAAATCTTAAATTTTTATTAAGCAGAACTAAAAAAAATTTAAAATTAAAATTTTTTTAAAAAATTATAAAATATTCTTTTATATGCAATCTCAAAATTTTTTTATAAATATTAAACAAATAAAAATAAGTTTTTAATAGTATATAATCATAAGTTTTATTTAAAAAAATATATTTTTTTATTTTTAAAAAAATAGATCAGATGTGAATTTATAAAATTTAAGCAGACAAATTTGCAAATTACGATCAAAGCAACTTTACTCAGTGCGGTTATTAGTCAAATTCACTAAAAATTTGGTGGTTTAGGGCATAATTGGTTAAGTCCGGTTACATAAATCCCAAAATTTTTTTGGACATGAAAATCTATTATATACAGTAGTTACAAATTGTATATAGATAACTTCGCATTTGGTACGTACTGATATACAATGTATCACCAGTTAAGTCTGTACGTATATACGTACGTACGTACGTACGTACATTGCCAATTATTAGCCGGTACGTGCAAAATCACATTATGACCTGTACACATTCATGAACCTTTTGTAATTTAAAAAAAAAAAAAAACTACCTTACAGCACTGCATACAGTCTTTTTCACGAATGCCAAGATAAATTAAACAATATCTCCGGAGTACTGCGTAAAGGGGTACTCTAAAGAAAGTATTGATCATGTGAGTTGATCGTATAACAAGATCATTGATTCGATAATAAATTATGGGAACGTCACCCAATGTGATACCGGTAAAATAACTGTGTGCTTGATTAGTACCGGGGTACTTTTCAAAAATGTTAAAAAGTTACAATTAAATAGTACCCCGATAATACTTTTTCAGGAGTACTGTATGCAGTAATGTTCATCAGATAGATAATTATTTAACGATCAGTTGCATCAAAAGTTTTAAATCGAATTGTCAACTTTGACAACTTTCGATTCGTATCACTATGTTTTCCTATTTCTACCTACAGTATTCACTTTCTGAACGTGATTTAAACTTTCATTCATCTTTCACACCTAACAAACGAAATTTCACCAAACTACACATAGTTTATTATTAACGATATGAATTGGAAAATAAAAGCTGTGGGATTTAATAAAAAGTTGTGAAATTCAACGATTTCCGTGCGAGTTTACATATTGTATATATGTATGACACAATTAAGTAATACAAAAGCCTAAAGTGCATATGATTTAAAATTTTGAACGAATCGTGTAACCGCCTCTGCTGCCTCCTTGTAAGTTTATTCATAATTCCATAATTTAATATCTATGTATATAAATACTCGCCTAACTACATATATAAAATTTGCCGCGAAGGAAACATAAACAGAGGGAATCGGGAAAACCTTATTTTATATTGTTATGTAAATTAAAAAAAAAATTATTATGATTTTGCCAAGGGAAAAAATATAATAAAAATAAGGATGATAAATTGAATGCCACAGGACCAGTTACGAATCATTATTTGCCTAAAGAAGAATGATTGGAATGATTGTCTAAGATTCAAGAAAACAACACAGCGCAGCTGGACATCGAATTCCCGAAAAGTTCTTTATTACGTATAATGTCATTCATGTTGTACAAAGGAAGTTCCGGAAAATAATGTGTCTGAATATTGTGTATTTTGTGGGGAAGCTGTTTGATTTGCTGTACTTTGTATTTCAGTAAAAGGGTTTCCACCATCAATTAAATGTGTAATAATATCATTAATGGATGAATTTATTTGAGCTATAGTATGCTGAGATAATAAAGGTTGAGAAGTTTGATTTGTAGAGTTATTTGTAAAATTACTCATAGTTTTTTTTAATTTCTTATATTCTTAAATATTCTTATGAGAGAAGTATATTTGCTGGCAAAATCTTTTGATTGAGAAGTTTTTGTTGGGATTAGGGAAATTTTGTTGTGTTTTAAATCGTTGCCAGCAAGTATAAATTTCTATTATATTATAGCGACTGCAATGTTACTTTTATACATTTCTAAATAAATTGATTCTTTCTACATCAATCAATATCTGCACACTGACGTTTAACCAACGATAATAGTCATATATTCAATTATTGCACTTCATTCTTCATATGTAATAGACTATTTATTTTCATTGAAAAACTAATTGTTATCATTGAAGGACAACCGGTTCGAACAAGATCATATTACTCAAAAAAAAAGTGATTAATCTAAAAAATATATATATCTATCTATTTTAATACTGTATACGTATATCTGTATATTCAAAAGTAAAAAATATATACTGTACAGTATGTCAATATATTGACGTAATTATTTTATCGATCAAATTTTTTTGTGGGGTAACCTTTTTTTTTTTTTTTGTGGGGTAACATTATATTAATTCCATTGTCTGTCAATATTGACCAGTTATAGTCGTGAAACGTAGTTTATCTGTCAAGCTAGTTATACCTCAATATTAAATTTTTAGGTATGTTACAAAAACTGGTTCTTTTAGGATTGAAGGATCTGAATTGATGACACTAATTGATCGGTCTTATGATTGAGATTGGCCGGACAATCCAACCTAAAACTGATCAAACTATTCGGAATGACCGACTAGCATCACATTAGGTGATACTATCATCACAACTTTTCATTTCAATGCTAGTTAAAACCGAAATTTCAACCTAAATTCAATTGTTATATCCGAAGGCAAAAGAACGTAATTCAAAGTTAGTTCAATGTCGGCAGATTTAGTTAATAGTGTATCATTTCGGGAAAATGACTTTCGGAAAACCGTATCATTCGGACGCATTTTTGGAATTGGGCCAAAATTAAAAACCCCGAATTACTATTTAATTATTACATGAAATATACGTCAACCATATGACGCATTTAATAAACTGAACCACCAAAACAATAAAACATATAATTGTCATGTCAAACCCATCTTCCCACCATCTCCTTTTACTGTTAAAAATTCAACTCTTTTACATTAAAATTCATCTCTTCTTATAAATATAGTCAAATGATTTGCCTCACGTTAAATATCTATCATAACTACGTCATAAATTTAGGGTAGTGTAAAAAGTCGCCCTAATGTACTAAGTTCAATATATATGCATTGCGGCATAATAGTTAACATTAGGAGATACTGTAGTCAAACAATTCAGGACTGTGACAGTTGACTAATCAAATAATAGAATATACTGCATATTATAATCAATTTTCAATTCCAGTTTCAATTCTATTTTTTGTTCAGGACATCTAGAGTTCATCAAATAACAGAATTCACTAAAGTGCAATAATGACTTATATGTCTTCAAAATGTTTGATTCGGTGTTTAAAGTAGAAAAATGTTGCCTCTTCTATTATTAGATTTGTAATATGGTTTAATATTTACGATACTTCTCAATTCAAGTATCAATAATGAATGATATTAAAACAATAGATCCTTTCCAATAAAATTTAAACCAGTATCTTAATTTTAGAGAAGTACGTAGAACAATAGCAATATCTATAATATTATTTCACTAAAAAAAAAAAAAAAATTAAAAAAAAAAAAAAAAAGGTAAGGAATGAACAATGGGAAAGAAAACAATTTGGATGGATGGTTTTCTACTTATTACTCTTGTCTATTAGACAATACGATAAATTGTTATTCAATGATATTTTTTAATGCGACATTAACAACCAAAAATCTCGGCATAAAAATCAACTTAAAACATAGGTTTATATCAATCTTAGGTTTATCAGATTTCAACTTGTAAATATAAAAATTTTAAAGTTTATTTATTACGCATTAAATTGCGTCATAGCGGGTTATGTATGTATGTATGTACAGTATGTATGTAAATCGATTGTGATTTTCACATGTCAATGAAACGGAAATGACAAGCAAAAAGAATCTAGAATTTCATATGCACTCACGTACGCGCTTATTGACGGTAGTTTTTTTGGGCACGTACTTACATACATTCATATGAGCCTGCCAAATTTAATTTGGCGACACACAAATTACGGATTAATTACTGTCTTCTTGATTCAATACACATTTATACATTTAATAATAGATGAAATACAATGGTGCATCCTTTAATGAAATATATTTAGTCAACAATATTTCAATTGTGCACTCTTTCTTTATCAATGTAAGCACATAGGTAATCTTACTCAATTGTGTATTATACGTATCTCCAGATTAATCAACTAATATTATCTGATTTTAAGTTAAAAAGCGCATAAAGATTAGGTTTAGCAAAATTGGATCAAAGTTCTAAATTACGTATAATTCTTATAATTTTTTAAAAAAACCTTTATATTAATGAATTAGTTTTGGACCTTTATACTGTACTTGTTTTAAAATTTTTTTTTTTTTTAAAAAAAACCACCATTTTTTTAGGATTAATTGTTTTGTAACAGGTTATCGTAACCATTGTTGGTCTATGGCCTGTTATGACCTATTGGCCAACTATAGGTCATGACCTTATGACTTGTTATGACATATAAAATTTATTATTACATTATATTACATTATGACCACCTTTGATCATACGTATAAATTTGAATAGGGACCGTCTACGGACACGTACGTACGTACGTACCAATTACACGTACCGAACTTTAGGGTTAGTATATTTGCACGTGATAGGTTTTAGATTTATAATAGGTATGTGCACAATCACGT